TGCTAAGTGGATCTCATTGATTTTCAGACTCAACCTGATGGAAAGTTTAAATTTATCATGGTCTACTAAGACCACTTGACCAAGTTTATTTTGCCTTGTGCATTGGAATTTAAACAAGCAGAAGAAGTAGCCTACCATTTGAATGACATATTTTTGATGATAGGTGCCCCCATGTATTTTGCAGTCAGACAATGGAAGAGAATTCGTCAATCATATTATATGTGAAATGACAAGTCTTTGGCCAGAACTTAAGCTAGTGCATGGAAAACTACAGCACAGCCAAAGTTAGGGCTTTGTCGAGAGATCGTGAGCAACATGATCAGTTGTTGGCTAAAAGATAACCAATTGACTAAATGGTCAGAAAGCTTGAGGTATGTACAATTTATGAAAAACAAGGCCTATCATTTGGGCATAAAACAATTGCCTTACAAAGCTATGTTTGGAGTTGAACCCAGAGTTGGTCTTTCAACGACATCACTACTACCAGAAATAATAAAGGATATTCAAGATGAAGATGACCTTCAAAAACTTATTGAAACTGATTTAACCCATAGACAGACAAATGCTCACAATGATTCAGGAGATGATAGTGATTTAAATTAAAATTGAAATCAAATCAATTGAAACATAATATTTCAGAAAGTGTGGCTAAAGTACTTGTTGTATATCTTAATTACTGTAATTTGGTTATATTTCATACAGGCAGTTAGAGTTAAGTCTCTATTTATATCACTTCTTTGTAAAGTGTTAGTTTCAGTTTTGGTTGACAATGATGGAACATTTTGCTTTTAATATATATATAAAATGGATATAGATAATATAATATATTGCCTTTATAGGCATTTTTATGCATGGAATACAGATAAAAAGGTAAAAGAAATTTGTTTAGGGGCCAAGAACAGATTATCTAATCCATTTTATAATGTTTCTTTGGGAAAATTTATTTCAGTTTTAGAACAAATTGGTTTTTGAATAATTTTTAGGAACAGATTCAAAACCCAAGGTTTGACTGTAATTAGATATGAAGCAAGTCAACTAGAGGTAGATGGTTAAGCTGCCACCTCATAATTTAATAATTAGAAATAAATTAATTTTTAATTTAAATTTATAATATTCTGGAAGAAAAGATTGGCTTGGAGCAGGATGCAAACCTCTAAACCTCTAGCCAAATTGTATTAAATCTAATTATTAAATTAACCTTAATATAACCTGATAAATAATCCAGCAGATCATTTGGCAGTACAGTAATACCTCGAACTTATGCGATAGGTGGGATCGAGTGATAATCGTGTAAGTCGAATTTTCGTAAGTTGGGGTATAATTTTGCATATAAATACATACAAATTATTTTTAATTGGGGCCGGAGACTAAAGAAAACAATAATTTAGAAAAAAATGTTTAATAAAATTTTAGATAATACATATGTATAACAAATTATATTATTAAAATCATAAACTGTTATTAAAATCATAAAAGTTATTTTGATGTAGAAGGCTTCATAAAATCTAACAAATTTGTCTGACGGCTCAAAAATTTTTTCTCCTGCAAAATTTCCTCGTAGCATGCTAATAATTTCTTTATTTCTCGTTTTGTAGAAGAAATACACTCTTCTTTGGAGTCTATATTTTCTAAAATTTGTAACCCCTTTTCAATTGAACTGAGGCCTTCTGTCAAGTTTCCAACCATCGTTCAATCTTCTGATTGAACTGGATCTAAAGAATCAAGTTCTTCAATGTCTTGCTCTTGGCTCATGCATTTCTATGAGCTCATCAATTGTCAGTTCCTGATTGTGGGAATCCAGCAGTTCTTGAATGTCATCACTATCCACTTCTAAATTTATCTGTTTGGCAAGATCGACAACTTCTTCAATCACATTACCAATTTCATCAGGCTCTGGCACTGATTCCACCTGAGTTTCAGTGGTGAAAAAAAAGGACATAGTTTTTTCCAGACACCATTTAAAGTTTTTTGTGAAACTTCATTCCAAGATTGTCCGATGATTCTCACTGCATATAAAACATTGAATTGTTTCCAAAAGTCTTTAACAGAGAGCTTGTTGTTTTGTCTCATAGTGCAAACGATCGTCTTGTGTAATGTTTGAATGTTTGAAGCTTTGAATGTTTTGATGACTCGGTGAGCCATCGGTTGAAGCAAGCTGGTTGTATTTGGTGACAAAAATACAACTTTCACACGTAGGTGAAAATTAGTTAAAGTTGCAGGGGGATGACCTGTGTTGTCGATTATTAGCATCACTTTAAATGGAATTTGTTTAGATTGGCAATAACATTCGTCTTCAGGTATGAAGTGATGACCAAACCAGTCCTCAAAAAGGGAAGCTGCCACCCAAGCTTTACGATTCAATTTCCAAATCACAGGCAAGCCAGCTTTCGATTTATTTTTCAATGCTCTTGGATTTTCCAAGTGATAAACTAAGAGAGATTTTAACTTCAATCACCAGCTGCATTTGCGCCAACCATCACTGTTAATCGATCTTTGGCGGCCTTAAAACCTGGAAAGGTTTTCTCTTCATGCGTGATAAAAGTTCTTTTAGGCATTTTCTTCCAGAACAGGCCAGTCTCATCTATGTTGAATATGGTTTGGCTGATATAGCCACCTTCATATATCATAGCTTTGAATTTCTCTGGATAGTAAGACATAGCCTCTTTATCAGCACTTGTTGCCTCTCCACTTTCTGCAATGCTATGCCAATTACAGCGACTTTTGAATTGGCTGAACCAATCATTACTAGCTTTAAACTCTTCATCTTTAGCCACCTCTCCAGCATCCTCTCTTTCAATATCTCAAAAATCAGCTTAGCTTGAGAGCACACAGTGTTCTGATCAACAGGACAATTTTTCACATTTACTTGATTATCACACCATAATTTTAACATTGTTTCCATCTCAGCAATAATACTGTGATGTTTACGAATGATGCTTGAATTTAAAGATTGGGCATTTTTTCACAGCTTTGAGAATTTTTTCTTTATCTTTTATAATTGTTCTGACCATCGATTCCAGTAGATCAAACTTTTTTGCCAATTCACAAATTTTCATTTTTGTATCAAAGTCTTTAATAATGTTAACTTTACATTCCAAAGATAGTTTTTCTTTTCTTGTTAGATGCAGAAGAATCAGTTCTACTTCGTTTGGATGACATAGTAGAGTCTCTCAAATCTCCGTAGATATAACAAACACAGAAATAAATAACACAAAATAAATTGTAGCTACGCGTCAATTCCGTGTGACACATCTGAACATGCAAGCTGAACAATAGTGTGGGGGGAGTGAGTAATCAAGAGTTGCGTGGTGCTCAAAGAAAAGACGAATCGACGAGATTTGAAAATTGTGTAACCCCAGGTTCGCGTAAGTCAAGGTATTACTGTATATGTTTCAAAAAGAAAAATGTATTTGTTAGTATAATGTACGTAATAGTTTCATTTTGAAAAAATTGAACACTTCTTTTGAACAAAGAAGTTCAAATGAAGTGTTCAATTTTAAATTTCGATAAATAAAAATAATGTATAACAAATTCACAGCAATATATAATTTCACATACTAAAATAACTACATGAATAAATACAGAACTAAGTACTATGTAACATTAAATACATACTGTGTGAACCTGGTCTCCACAATTGTCAAAATTATTAAAAATATTTCATTTTCATTGTTCATGAAATTCCTGAAGGTTCAAGATAAACAAATTCCTGATATACTGATACAAGAGAACAAAATTGAGATATCATCAAATTATTAATTAAATATAACCAAGTACTGGGACTAATCCAGGTATTGCTATGTCATCTAAGTTCAGGTGATGCCAATAAGATTTGATTTCTAAGACTAAATTAATGAATTGAAAAGGCCCAATGGAAAAAGGATTTGACAGGTTGAGACACTTTGCATAGAACTTCACATCAACAATCTCAGAGCAACTCAGTTGGAAACACTTTACCTTATATTGTTCAAACATCCTGCACAACATTTCATCAAATATTTATAGCAGATAGCAATATTATAGGATTAATGTAACAAGTACAGTATAAGGCACTAGAAATAGCAAAATTCTGAAAAGCTTACCAATAATAATGAGTAATTAAATTATTTCTAAGCTTCCTAAATAATTATTGAATCTTTTGACTAGAATCTTTATTTTAATTAAATGTTTATTAAAATGCATAGACTCAATATATCTTTAATAAACATTTAATTAATATTTAATTAAAGTAAAATAAAGAATAAAGATACTTGTGAAAAGAGTCAATAATTATTTAGGAAATTTTGAAATAATTCAATGACTACATTCAATAATATATTGTTTACCAATCAATTTTGCCAATATTAATGTTGGTAAAATATTCATAATTTTGTTCTCTACTGCTTTATATACAGTATAAGTAGAAAATACAAAAAAAAATTATCATATTTGTAGAATAGATTTTCTATATTCTTGTAATATTCAATACATAAACACATTATAATGAACTATCGTGCATATAATCTTTTCTAATGAAAACTATTTATATATTAAATTAAAATTTAAACTTTAATCCTTCTCAAATATACATACATAAAAAGTAATTAATTAATGATGATAAATGTAATTTTGCTTTTATATGTATTATATGAATGAAACAAATTGTTTTGTTCTATCCTTGTTTTATACTGTATAACCATTTTTATATTATCAACCACATTAACACCAGGATGTGTTAAAAAGTCATACTCCTAGAACCTATTTCCGGTGTGACGATTTTTATATTTTAATTGTAAATGTTTTCTTAGTGCCTTGGGTAGGTCTTCTTAGGCATCTGAGTAGATTCACACCTGGGTGGATAGTTTTAATTTATTTTTTGGCTGTTATGCTTTTAATATAGACAAGAAATGACAAACAGTACGTTAAAAATGTTCTTTGCTATTTATTAATATATAAAAGTATAAATAATACATATTATTTTAATATATAAAACTGATTATTGTTAAATTTTTTCTTTAAAGACACTTTCAATATCTATGCTGTTGAGATATTCTCATCATCAGATTTTTCTTTTTATTGGTAAGTACAATTTATGTGTTTTTTGAATCATTTAAAAATCTTGATTTCAATCAATTTAATAATTAGATATAAAACATGTAAATGTAACTTCTGTTTACATTTACAAGATAAAATATTAATGAAATAATAAACTGGATTTTTCATTAGCATCATAACATCAGATTTAAATCTTTTAATACTTTTCTGTAAAAAGTAAATTAATAAGTTAAGAATATTCTGAAATTAATAATGCTGTCTCTATTGAATGTACTGCTTGATTAAAACAAGTTCCTGTTTCAGCTTTCAGTATCTACTCTTCTGGTGAAATTTTTTTAGTATTGATAAAGATATTTTTTTCAGATTAAAATATGATTAAAATCTTCTCTTTGGGTTAATTTTTAATCTTAAGGAACAGAAAAATTTTATATTATATGATGATGAAATGAATATGATAAATAACTTGTAAATTTAATATTCATTTCATCAAATGAAACTATGTAGTCTGTATGTAGAATGTGATTTGATAATTCTTTCAACAATGTTTTGCATAAACTGATCCTCTCTACAGTATATGATTTTTTCTTTTAGAGGCTTTCTTAAAAATTGCTAAAATACTATACAACTATATAAATAGTGTATTACATACATAGTAATAGAGATAGTATATATTTTTAAGTTAAAAAGATTAAAAGAATAAATAAATCACTTTTCCCACACTTGTCTGGACTAAGACTATTTTGTTCTTTTTATCTGAATATTATGTTCTCATTGGATACTTTGTTTCATGTTTTAAAATATTAGTAATAAAATTAAAATTCACCATAAGTTGTTACATTAAAAGTGCATGATGAGAATATTAAAATACATAAATGATAAAATATTAAGGTTTCCTTAATATTTTAGCATTTATGTATTTTGTTTGATGGAGTCATTTAGATTTAAACAGGTTCAGAATTCTTTTATTGCTAACATATTGCTAGGTTTTCATTTGTTTATCATAAATAATTATGATGACAAAATAGATTCTGTAAGCAACTATAGAATCTATTTTGTAACAATAAACTAGATGTTGTTCATCATTATATAAATAGTAATATCATGTTGACAAGTTGTACAATAATGTCACTAATGTTTATTTTACAGATTTCAAACAATATAGTTTACCATTTGTGAACAGTGTGTGATACATGAAGGTCATCCACAAAATTTTGAAATTCTTAAGGCAGAAATTTCCCATGCAATATATAGTCACGAATACATTGCACTGTTCTATACATGACATATTTCAAAGATGCATACAAAGTGTCTGTTCATGAATAAAGGTCACTTGAGTGATGTCATCTTCAGAACATAAATGACAAACTATGTTTGAAATCTTGTACATGAAAATTTGTTAATAAGTATTCAAAAGTTAATAACTAACTAACTATTTATAATTGCCCATTTTCCTGCTGAATCAAAATTATAAAAATCAAAATNACACTTTCAATATCTATGCTGTTGAGATATTCTCATCATCAGATTTTTCTTTTTATTGGTAAGTACAATTTATGTGTTTTTTGAATCATTTAAAAATCTTGATTTCAATCAATTTAATAATTAGATATAAAACATGTAAATGTAACTTCTGTTTACATTTACAAGATAAAATATTAATGAAATAATAAACTGGATTTTTCATTAGCATCATAACATCAGATTTAAATCTTTTAATACTTTTCTGTAAAAAGTAAATTAATAAGTTAAGAATATTCTGAAATTAATAATGCTGTCTCTATTGAATGTACTGCTTGATTAAAACAAGTTCCTGTTTCAGCTTTCAGTATCTACTCTTCTGGTGAAATTTTTTTAGTATTGATAAAGATATTTTTTTCAGATTAAAATATGATTAAAATCTTCTCTTTGGGTTAATTTTTAATCTTAAGGAACAGAAAAATTTTATATTATATGATGATGAAATGAATATGATAAATAACTTGTAAATTTAATATTCATTTCATCAAATGAAACTATGTAGTCTGTATGTAGAATGTGATTTGATAATTCTTTCAACAATGTTTTGCATAAACTGATCCTCTCTACAGTATATGATTTTTTCTTTTAGAGGCTTTCTTAAAAATTGCTAAAATACTATACAACTTTATAAATAGTGTATTACATACATAGTAATAGAGATAGTATATATTTTTAAGTTAAAAAGATTAAAAGAAGAAATAAATCACTTTTCCCACACTTGTCTGGACTAAGACTATTTTGTTCTTTTTACCTGAATATTATGTTCTCATTGGATACTTTGTTTCATGTTTTAAAATATTAGTAATAAAATTAAAATTCACCATAAGTTGTTACATTAAAAGTGCATGATGAGAATATTAAAATACATAAATGATAAAATATTAAGGTTTCCTTAATATTTTAGCATTTATGTATTTTGTTTGATGGAGTCATTTAGATTTAAACAGGTTCAGAATTTTTTTATTGCTAACATATTGCTAGGTTTTCATTTGTTTATCATAAATAATTATGATGACAAAATAGATTCTGTAAGCAACTATAGAATCTATTTTGTAACAATAAACTAGATGTTGTTCATCATTATATAAATAGTAATATCATGTTGACAAGTTGTACAATAATGTCACTAATGTTTATTTTACAGATTTCAAACAATATAGTTTACCATTTGTGAACAGTGTGTGATACATGAAGGTCATCCACAAAATTTTGAAATTCTTAAGGCAGAAATTTCCCATGCAATATATAGTCACGAATACATTGCACTGTTCTATACATGACATATTTCAAAGATGCATACAAAGTGTCTGTTCATGAATAAAGGTCACTTGAGTGATGTCATCTTCAGAACATAAATGACAAACTATGTTTGAAATCTTGTACATGAAAATTTGTTAATAAGTATTCAAAAGTTAATAACTAACTAACTATTTATAATTGCCCATTTTCCTGCTGAATCAAAATTATAAAAATCAAAATTATTGTTTAATATGCATTTTCAAAATTGCATTATTATTTTTTCTATTTAAATTGCATTATTAATGAAATGATATATTAGTAATTGAATTTAACTATCAGGTTAGAACTTGGTCTATTAATTACACAAATATATACAGTCGACCCCCCTACAAGATAGAGATACGTTCCATTCTCTAGGAATCCGCTTTCTTACGAATCCTTCCAATCACAACCCGACACGTGTCAAGTTTACGGACTACGGCTGTTTGAAAGATTTTCTTCCATAAAATTAATCGATTCTAGACTAATCCGCCTCAACATTTCCAAAATACGTATATATTTTTTGGGAATAATCCGTATAAACTACGCTATAAACAAAAAATTGTAGGATTACTTACCGAGTGTCACCATTCGACATTGCCATTGCTCAACATTGTTTTCGTCGCGGAACAGCTCAGCAAAGAGCGGCCGATTTCTAACAACTTATTTTTCTGTGAAAACTTCGTAGAACTTCGGAGACATCATTAATATAA